CCGAGGTGTCGAGGATTGTTCTGAGAGATGGTGAGGCAAGAAAGCAACGACCGGAGGCCGAGGTCGCTGGTGCTTAAGTTCGCAAACTTGCGAAATGTGATTTGTGACGGATTTCGACAACCTCATTTTGCGTCCTCGAAAAACACCAGTGTTGTTTTTGTTAAAACAGATTTGCCGTGGCTGTTTCTAAATAAATCAAACGACATTTTAATAGGCCTTACGCCGTAACATGTCGCCGTAACTGAACATCTACCGAATATGGTACGATGCCAGATATTCACGAACACGAGGACAAACAGAATACCTTTGAATACGAGTAGGTTTATCAAAGTAACCAGAAACTCATATCTCGGAAGCATTTTGTTTGTCATCATGCACATGTTCGTTGCGTTACGTGCACGACACTTGATGATTCGGTCTCATGGTATCAAATTTAGAAACGTAAAACGATTAACGGTTGCGCATGATCGCAGTTCAAAAACGCTTCCGTAACACAATCTACCAGCTATTTTGATGCCTACGACAAGCGATGGCCTGCCTTCTGTTCATACCATTGTTCATGCATTAAGCAATAGTTAATAGATAAGGTCTCAGCCTTTAAGGTACAGCTGTGGAGTAGTTTACCACAGTTTATTTCGGAAATTTTGGCCCACACAGAATACTTATGGACTGAGTCCAGAACACGTTTGTTTATGGACCGTTCTAGGTTGTCCCAAGTTGGAATATAAGACTTAACAAGTATGGTTGTATCAGCATTGGATGTTTGATTATAACCCAGAAATAAAAGTGTGCCCAAAATACGGACATTTTCCCCCAAAAGAAAATTAAATACTTTACCTCCCAGCAGTATTTGTCTCCCAGCTCTTGCCTCGCTTAACACGGAAAGGATTCAATCCTATGGTCTCCTATGCTTTCCTTTTTGAAACGATGGTCATATTCGCGCCACAGTTGCGCTCAACATCGTTTCATGATCCCTCCATTTGATTTCTTTGGGTGGTAAGGCTTGGCTCAGTCTCATCCAATAGCTTGAAAAACAAAATGTTCGATCATTAAACCATAATGAGACTAGCGCGAGAAAGGCCAATGTGTGTCATGCTGTCATAAACTATGTCTACAGACATGTACCCGTGCTGATGCACGGGCTACACAACATTCCATTGCCGACCGAAAGAGTACCTGTAAGCTCAAAACATTAATTCCAAAGTTATGTACATAATTTAAATCCAGCTGTGTGGCAGTATATACATAACTTGAGACTGATAGAGCGCCTTAATATTCAATACATGATTTCCTCATAGTTTTGAGGTGTACCTGATCGATCAGCGTCATCACGGTTACGGAGGTCCGTCCGCCTTTGTTTTTATGTGGGTTTGAAATCATCAAGACTCTATGTGGTCGGTATGCAAAGAATGCACAACTGATGCAATAAATACGATGTATGCACAGCTGATGCAATAGATACGATGTATGCACAGCTGATACAACAAATGCAATGTATGCATAGCTGGCGCAATAAAGACGATGTCGGTTATATTGATCGAAGTTGGGGTTGAATTTGTATTGTTAACATGCCGGCCGCCCCTCACTTAGAAGGACGTCAATAACAAACAACCAAGGTAGGTTGAGGCACTTGTGGGTGATGTAAAAAATCGGTCTACATGGTTACGTCTCATTTCCACTGACATGGTATACATACATATCCGGAAATTTATTCCGTCTAAAAAAGAGTTGGCTATGAGATGGTGAGGCCGCTGCGTCCCCGATAAACAGATGAGCTATATACGTGCTATGCTGCCGAGTCCAGTGGCTTGTCACTTCACCTGCAGGTCATTTCTGAGGTCATGCACGCTTTTTTATACGACAAATACAATTCATACTTTGTGGAACTGTTGACTGGTTAATGGGCGATCCACTTCAAACCTCGATCGCGTTTTTGTACCTCTGTGATAGGAAAAAGAGCGGCGTCAATGCGTATTCGTCAGGTTTAGTGATGTTTGCACCTTGTAGTGCTCTGTGTATAATCAGAATTTTCCATCACGTCTTCGATGACGTTTTACTTTCTTCCATGTCTAGGATCGAACTTTAATTAATTCCCTGCTAGCACTTAATGTTTGAAGTCCCGCCAAGCTTGTCATGTACAATCAGCAATGAACATTGCTTACACGTATTATTATGAGCATAACCAGTAAACTATGCATGTAACTCCTAAAATATTGGTACTTGTCACGCGCGGGGTTCTTTATGAGAGCTGCTGCGGTCATGTTACACCGACATTCAAGTTGCGGCCATCGCTACGAAACCTGCCGTGCCATAATCTCCGCTTATGGCCATGTCAAAATGCCAGGGATGAGCACGTTTTAGTTTCAACTGTGTTGCGTTAGCTTTTCGCGTGCGGAATTTGGTATTCGGCACCAGTGCTTGGTGAATAACTGACTACGCCACTATTATTTCAGAAGCTCGCCCCAGCATTGTAAACTCCCAATTTTTTCGACAGGCACGCAAGCTGAAGAAAGCTACGTTTGCAGCCAAGTGGTGACGATGAATCCCTTTCTTTCCCTTGGTAATAGTGCCGACTTTGTTTTCGAATGGCTTGGCCGGCAATTAAATGGACATTGTAAACAGCTGACTGATTGTGCAACTGTTCGAGGGTGTGCCAAATAGGGGCGGGTCTAGGATCACACAAGACCCTAAAACATCAACCTGACACCCAAGTACCCCTTTGCACATGGGCCAAAGCATCACTTTGTTAACAGATAGGTACAGACATGGTGGAATATTTGAGATACGATGCCTCCAAAAAAGTGACGTTTTAGTATCCTTACAGTCTGTCTGGAATGAGGTGTTCCTTAAAAATATACACTTCTGGGCCACGAAATGAAAATTTTGATGACCTTTCATCGTTAGATTTCGATGCTCTTCGGAGCACCGAAATCCTCACGACCCAAAGAGGGGGGATGGGGTACAGACCAAAGGTGTCTCCTCGATTCACCCCTGGCGTCAATGTTTGAGGGGAGAGGCGCGGGGGCTCCCAGTGTCTCTAGCAGAAATGAAAGTGACATTTGTTCATCCATTTGAATAGAGGAGCAAAACAATCGTGGATGTGTACCATGCAGAAGTCTGGAAAATGTAACTTCTGGGCATGCGCTTTTGCGAACCATCTGACGCGCCAGATATACGCCCCTGAGAGGCGTTGGCAACAGCGCTGACCTGCCTGCGACTCTAAATCAAACCTGATGCCACCTTGCAGTAGGTTGTCCACAAAAGGGTTTCAGATCGCCAAAGTAAATGTTAACATAAAAACAAAAGTTGACCAATTTTCCAGCCGTCTTACGTAGTTACAAAACGTGTAAGTGTATGCGCTTTCTCATGTAAAAGCAATAAAAATGCAGCTGAATACCATTGGCTGTTATTTGTCTAACCCCGAGCTCGAGCCGATCAATCATCGATATTTCGACATCTCCCCACGGCAGCAATACACGTCCCCGAAATGTTTCTCTAAATATTTGATGGCAGCTCTTTGTCTACTTCATTAGCCCTGGTACATAATCGCAACAGGCCATCTACAGTGTGCTCATGGGGCAATCCATCACCCCTGCGGGCCGCCGATAGCACAACACGGCCAACGTCTCACCGATAGCACGACACCGATATCGCCTTAGCTTGGCTCCACAGTGCAAGGACAAAGCCTGTTTAGCTGATGGTCGTCGCCTGACGTGACGCCGTTTGCTGCTTTCTCCGTGGCGACCATTTTTTTAGTACGATCGCGTGACCTTAATTGCATACAGTGCTCTTCCATAGCTATCGGCTGTGGAGCAGCCTATTGAACGGTGCGTGGTGTGCGGGAGCTGTACACAAGTCGAGCGGTGGGGCATGTTGCTCAGCACATGTGGTGGTTGAGGGTTCGGGCATGTCCCTCAGCAGATGTAGTGGTTGTGGCTCGGGCATGCTCGTCAGTGGGTGAGGTGGTTGAGGGCTCGGGCATGTTCCTCAGCAGATGCGGTGATTGAGGGCTGATGTGGTGGTTGAGGGCATGATGCATCTGTGCCATGATGCATCATGTGCAGAAGCGCTGGTTCCCAGATAAACCTGGAAAGAGGTGCCGACGCGATGGCCTAGCGCTGACGGCTGCCTCGCCAACTATCGCGTTCTGTGATCGTGTTTCGCGAGAATAACCGGCTTAAGTAGCCTGAGGTCTTGCTGGCGGTCGCAATAGTCGGGTGCTTCACACGCTTCAAAAGCAGTTCTTATATCTACTTCATTAGACCAAGTACAAAATCGCAACAGACCATCTACAGCATACTTCTACATCGAGAGCTCTTATGGTGGGCGCTTTTAAGGTTTTGTTTGCACGCAACGCCAGCTGACGTTATTTATAATTTCGCAAAATAGGAATACACTTTCTTCCAGCAAGGTCGTGGTAAAACCCTTGGCTGCGATCCCCGACGGGTTTCGGTCCCTCAGTCCACACGCCTGCTGGCAAATAATCTTTAAACGGACCGAGCCTGGTGCTTGTAGTTGAATGCTTTGGTTTTCGGGCCCATCTGGGTGCCGTGGAAACAACCTGGAAATCTGCTCACTGATTCAAGGATTCAAGATACGTTCCGTCGTGATATATTTTGCTCATCAGACTTATGCTTCTATGAATAGCGGCAAAACCTACGCAACTGATAAGCCGACTTGACGTGCGGCACATCGACGCCTTACTTACTTCCGGCAAGATCGAGTCAGGCTCTTTCCCAGTACTGCAGTCCGACCTCCAGAGGTCGAGACTCGCATAAAAACCGGGTCTGGTGCCACGCCGTTGCGCAACTGTTCCAGCTCGGACTGGTACCGTCCAGGCGTGAGCCGGCGCAGCCAAAAGGCGCCTCTAACCGCTCTGTTCCGCGCTCTGGCCCCGCCGCCGGCGGCGCTCGGCGCTGGCCGGCCGTCGGCGGCGGCGGCCGACGCTCGCCGGTATAAATCAGCGGCGACGAGGCGCCGTCCGGCAGTGCGAGCTCCGGGTCGGCGCCGATCAGACGGAAGGGGAGCAGCTCGCGGCACGTGCACGCGCAGCGGTGGCCCCCCGACTGACGCGCACCCACTACTCACCGTCAGCATGGAGCGGATCAAGAGCTGGGTGGTTGGCTTGGCGCGACAGGGGCGCCGTCAGAGGCGTAAGTACTGGCTTTTGGTGGTGGCGATGTACGTCAAACTCACGTGGGAAGCGCCAGGTGACGGGAGGTGGAGCAAAAGCGCAGGGACAGCAGTGCCTGCTTGCTTGCTTAGCAAGTCTATAGGGGCGGATGGCAAATAAGGTTGAGTCTTTGAGCCCACAGACTCTGATAACGCCCGATTGACTTTTCACGAATTCCGGTGGCAGAGTTATGAGTTTTAGTAGGCATACAAAGCTCAAAATTGCGGAAACATTATCATGGGAGAGGTCCCAAAACCATTCAATTCTCTTAAAACAGTCTGTTTATTTGCCTGGTCAAATGAACAGTCAATGGATTGGACTTCATACCATTAGCTTTCCATTCTGAACTAAAAGCCTGTGCGTTAGATTTTATAAAACTTGGCGCAATTCATTCGGCTTTTATAATGTTCTTGTGTAACAAGTTCGACATTGTCGGGGAGGGCAGATACATTACGGCGCTCTATCACCAATAATATCATATATACTCATAGTTACTGAACAAACCCGTGTTCCTCGTTCGCCGCGGCTTTCGCGTGACAAGGCAGGCATATTAGCTAGAGACGCTTTCGCATTAAACCAAAACCTGCTAGGAAGTGAGCAGCTTGAGGTAAGTCCGTTTCATCGCAGTTCGTTAAGTCGTGTGCGGTAGGTTCGTTCCAAAATTAGTATTGGTGGAGCCGTCGTAGATAGCCTGCGCGGCTCCCCGGCCGCCTTTACGTGAGGGATGCTGTGCCGCACTGCAGCCAGGTACTGCGGGCCCCGCGGCATTGCGATTGTTAGCGATCTGTTTGATGCGATAAATTGATTGGCTGAGCCCTGAACCTGGTTTGCTTGGTTTGATTGGATTTTATAGGGGTTGACTGGGACGGTGTGGATCTAAGTGGGTTTTACTTATTCCAGATTTGGGTTTGATTGAGCCTCAGCGAGCCTATGCAGGTATTTTGTCTATAAACGTAGATAAGCCTGTACCAATCAAGCCGCATCGCTCAAATTGATAACCGCCGTGACGATGCCGCACCGGACTGTTTTTCATAATCATTCGAATCTATTTCGGCCAAAAGAAGGGTTTCCAGCCCGCAGATTTTTGCAGATTTCTTTGAACGGTTTGAAGCAGGGCGCTGCAATGTTTCTAACTTTTGCCAAGCGAATTTTTACGTGCTTTGTTAGAATTGCAGATACATAATATGCGGAGGGACCGCTCCGGGAACAGGTATTTGTGGTAACCTCCGGTCAATGTCAGCGATCATGCCAATATGGCGACTTCGCTCTGCTGGCACGCACCGCCTCCCGTCCTAAAAAATAAGTGGCAACTCTGATCAACAAGACGGTTCATCATCGACATAGTCATTGCAATGTAGCAAAAGTAGCACGAGAGAGGTTGTTCTAGAGCTCCAAAATGAATAGTTTTCCAGCAGTGCAAAGTGCACGACGGATCGTGTTGGTGGGATCCCCTGCAACAGACCGCGATCACGTACGCCTGCCAGCATGGTTAACGATGATACGTCAGACGCCGTCTGCAGCATTGTTGTTTTGGGAGACAGGGGTATGGGTCATATCCAAAAGTTCCTAAATAAACAACAGCGAACAGATGATTGACGAAATGTGTTTTCGTCGAGGGTCATGGGTAGTATGATGATTTAAAACCGCTCTGTTGGACGTATGTAAAGCGTGCGGTCAGGACGCCATGACCTACGCCTGCCAGTCAACTGGTGACAAACACTTCCGACCACGTCTTCAGCGAGTGCCTCCGGGGTACACGCTGACGTCACAAACTCTCCGAGAGGCATCCACTCTGCATACCGCAGGACACACTAGACTAGCCGCATTGGAGTCAGCGGGTTTGCAAACGTGCTGGAGAACTTTAATAGTTGAGGACCAACGGCTCCGATTCTTACGGTTTTCAAGGCTCAAAACTCCGAATTCACAACCTTGCAAACGTTTGACCTGACAACGCCGGTGTGTCCGCTGTCGCGGCGCCGGCACTCGCAGCGCCTTAACTTTGAAGCGATTTCGTCACGCCTGGCGTCACGTCACAGCCTTCTCCGACGTCTGTGCCCGGTCGGACCACGTCTGCGGTGCGTATTGTCGGTACCACAGTGACGTCACGCACACAGCTCAGTTCACGCCTGTCCTGCGTGGAGAGAGGCACGGGGAGGGCCGTCTCCAGCGAGCTGGCGGGGGCCGCGGCGCCTTCCCGCGGCCACCCGGCTGGGGTGCCCTTGTGGCGCCGGCTCGTCCAGACGGGCACGCAGTGGCTCCACTACCGCCTGTCGGGCGTCACGCTTTGGGAACGACCGTGGACTTCCGTTGACAAACCGGCCTGTCGCGCCGATAGACCAGTAGACGCGTTGGCTGCCATGCCGGTAGATCAGTAGATGCCGGCTGTGGTCAGCTGTCCGACCCTTGGATCGGCCGCTGTTTATTGGCGTAGCTGAGTTGGGCGCGCGCTCGCGCGAGCCTGGTCTGTCTCAGCGCATTTTGCCGACACCGCTCCCACACATGTCCTCCGCAAGGCGCCACCGGTCGGCCCGGTGACCCCCAGACGCTTCCGGTGTGCCCGAGCTCCCGGCTGACCCGCACGTGGTGACCATGAGGTTTGGGCTGGACGTCTGCGGCGGCTGAAGCAGCGCGGCGCTCGGCTGGCAGGCCGTGCTCGTGACCACAGCTGGGACCGAGCTGACAACGAACGGCTTCAAACGGGACGTGTCGGCTTTTTCTGGAGATAAATCAGCCTCGGCTATGTAATACAACGGATAATGCATCTTGAGTTAGCAAGGTGGGACTCCGTCCTATTCCATGGTTTGTCAGCTGGATTAGCCAAATTGAAATAAATTTGATATCTCTGGTATGTTTCCTAGGCAAGGTGACACTCAAAATTGGAAACGTTACTTATGATATGATAGGCAATGCAAAAGTCTTCCTAAAACGTCGTCGAGGTTTCACCGCCGAAGCCGCCTCGGCATCAGTCAACGCTTCAGAGGTTTACGAAAAGCATCACGCGACAAATTGTCTTCGTGCACGTAGATCACCACTATGACGTTAACGATGGATAAAATCTAGGTCAAGTCAAGTTGGTTCAGACCATTTAACGTACAACTTTTCCGAGTCAAGTGATGTGTGTTACCCATCACGACCAGTATGCACTTCTTTGAAATCGTTGTTTGGCTCAGTGGGTAATTCAGTGCAACTAACCATCGTTTGGGTTTGGCACCTTGGCTTTGACATCACGTGGTCATTGTTCTTAGCCGTATGCTGGCAATGTGTAATCCGATTTCCATGGCTGCTGCCTAGGCTGTCACGAAGTCGAAGCGGTTGATGAATTGCATCGAGGAGAGGCAAAATAAAGAAGTGAGCTTCAAAGTACCGCTGCTGGAGGTGCTCTGTATTCATTCATGCATATATCTCGAACATATGACGTCGCGAGATGTCATACATCGGTGCTCTGACCAGGCAGACGGTAGCCACCGAGAACTGGTGCGGCAAAATATAAAATTGATACTTTTTCATCAACCGACACTTTAGAGGTGATCAAGATGTACTCGTAACAATGTAACTAATCTTTCACCCACATTTAAGGGTCTAACTACAGTGGGTTGAGAGCTACGCTAGAGGGTCTGACCTTTAATCTTCCAAGTGGTTGCAGGTTGCGTCGCTTAACTACACTTCCCCTGCCCGCTTCTCCATGCGAACGGTGATGGCCGGAAGCAAAATGGGTGATTTAGGTGGGATGCTTATGTGGAGCACTCTAACTTTTGACCCGGCATTGATAATAAAACGATCGATGATTTTGCCAGGAACTGAAATCTGCTAAAGCAGTGCAGTGCAAGCTAAGCGATCTGCTTCCGCTGCAAAACTTAACCCGCGCCTGGCCGGGGAAAGTTTCCTTTTCACTACGGTTTTCAAGCACAGGTCAAACAGGAACGCTCGCAGCGACACGAAATTTAGCAGTCTCTGTTCATCTATCAAGTTGGCGTCCTTTGTGCGTATTTGAAGAACTTATCTACCAAGATCAGTGACCTAGGGCGGGTCAAAGAGGCCAGCTGCTAAAATAATTGCCATTATTCAAGCCTGATATTGTAATGTAACGTGATAATACCTACAGTTTGTTTCTTTCAATTTTTCGAAACTGGCGAGGCCAGTGACCTGAAGTCAGGCAGGTCAGTTTTTTATCCACGGTGAATGGTCTATGTTATCAGTAGCGGAGAAGCTGGACGAAGGGGTGCGACGCATATAACCACCTCCTTATCGTGTTTGTGAAGCTGATGGCGTATAACTTCATGTAAGAACGTGCATGTTTTCAGTTTATTACAAGTACATCGTCAAGCGTCGAAGGGAACATGTATTATGTACTTAACAGCAATACGCCCTTGGGTACCTGCACATGTACAATACACTGTTTCTAGCCACAGAAAATTTGCACTGATCACATATGCTCGGTAAAAACTCTATGTTTCCATTCGGTTGGTTTATAAATTCTATCTTACTTAGCCTGAAGTGACGTCTGGTGTTTTTTTCTGTGTGTAGAGTATTTTTGTCCCGCAGCCGCGCGAATGGCATATGCTTAGTCGCAAACACGATGCGAAAACACATCGTTCTTATAGGCTAGTGGCAAATCAATTTTTAACGGTGACCTGATCTGACCTGGTCATTGTGGGAGAGAAAAATAGCCTGGACAGACTCCCCACGGTTTTAATGGTTATTTCCGTGCCCTCAATGCCCATCCTGGCGTGTAAACATAGGTTTTAACTGCACCTTTCAGAACGACTGTTTTGGACTTCTTGTGACCTGTGGTGACCATACATTTGACCTAAAGTCAAATATTTGGATGTACGTTCTCCATGATTTGACGAGACTTGCACAATGTTATCTTTGTTTTTCCCCATACGGTGTATAGAAGTTGGAGATTTTGGGGGTCAACTGCCCCCCTGAGCACAGGTGTACGCTCGAGCCACGAATCCCACATGACACGAACAGAAAAGA